GCAGAGCAGTTCAAGAGTTGAGCACAGGCAGCTCAGAGCAGATTTGGGACACAGCCACTGCTGTTCTCCACCTGAAAGTCCCCAATACTGCTTTGTTATCAAACACAGTATCTCGCTCTGCTCCCCTGCCCTCGCGAAACTGACACACTTGCTGATTACCATGCAAATAAATTTCCACCAGCTTCTCATTCTCTCTGTGACTAAGACTCTTCATGAAGTTATTTCCTCAAATTCACTGTTCCACTTCACTCCAGACCGGAACCGGGGTTCTGAGTGAGCCCTGCTGTTGGAGCTTTTAATTTTTAAAGGGCTGAAAAATCATTTACTGTGTATCCGAGCTTCAAAATACACAGTAACCTCATTGGAACTGACAACAGTCATACCTGAATGAGCAGGTAGGGAATAAGGAGCAGTGAAACTTTGCAACATGGGTACCTCACAGGTGTGTGGAGAGCTCACGAAGCAACTCCAAAACTCATTTAATTCAATTATTCAGAACACTTTCTCTAACTCCCTTTTCCATCTCCAGCAAAGAGGTGCACCCTTGGATACCTGTGTATTTTTGCCTCCGTCCAGACCAAGCTCTGGAGGTTTTGGACTCTATTTTATAGAATACAGACCAACAACACAGCACAACAAGGAACCGAGAGTCACTCAAAGGTTCCACTCAAAGTTAACTTGGTGGTTTCACCTTGCTCCAGCTCAGTTTCTACCTCCTGGGGCACATCCAATCATTTCTTTCTTTTTAAAATTGATTTTTACCAGCCTGAAACACACCGACAAAAATTAAAGATACAGAAATACTTCACCAAAACATGTAAAACAGAGTAAAATACCGTGTTGCTTCAAAATAATAGTAACCCTAATTGTCTTTAGGAAACTTAAATAAACTGCAGTTTGTAGGAAATACATCCATATTCAGAAAGAAGGTGGGAATTAGGGACGTTGACAGCTGAGATAGAATAAAACAGCATTAAATGACAGCTACTAGGAAAGCAGCTGCTTTTATTCCAGACTTGAGAAAGCAATAATGTTCTCTCACCCTATGAAGGCTGAATTTAGGCTTGTAACTTTTCAGAGGGCTGAATGCAATGAGTTGTCTTGATGGACAGGCTGAATTCTGAAGATTATGAACAGCTGACAGACAAAGAATACATATCCTCAGATCTTTAGCACAAACTAGGAAAGTACTTGGTGAAAATTTAACTGAGACAGAAATGTGCTCCTGTGTTTCAAAAAAACATGCATCACATTTACATGAAAAAAATAATGTACTGACTAGTAAAAATATAGAAAAATACAGCAAGGAGAAACCAGACCAGCTTATTTTCATTGATCGCAACTGGAAATAGAAGCCAAGGGAATAAACTGGCTGCTCTTGTGCTATTACAGATGTTTATCTGTAGCACTCACTTGTACATCTAATCAGCTCAACTTCATCTGTTCTGTGTCACTCCCCTGCAGCTCATTAAGGAAAACAAACAAATAGCAGTTAACAGTGGTGTTACTCTAAGAGAAAGTGAAGAGGAAAAGTAGCTGTAAGTTTGACTTCCAGGATCTGGTCACAAAATTCCAGAACTCTCTGTCTCAACTTGGAACCAAAGTTCTCAGAAAGTCTCAACACTAGTATCACATGAGGGCTCTGGAGCTGTTTTTGGTTTTTTTTGTGAAAAACAGAGAAATCCCCCTGACAGGCATCATCAGTTGACGTGGTGTAGAGGTAAGAAGGCTGATCTGATCCTCCGAAAGTGCAGCAGCCTCATGTGAAGCAACTTCACAACCCAACTCAGTGTATCTCTCTCGTGAAACTAACACAGGCGCAACACTAAAACCGAAAGAGAAGAAATGGTGACTTTGAGACAGTCACATTTTAAAAAAACCAAAGAACTGGATAACAACTCTAGGAAGTTCTCACAGCCTTAAAACCTTCCTTCCTCACCTACCACAACCTAAGGGTAGTCAATGCTTTCTACCGGCAGAAATACAGGTGTAGGATAGAACGTAACTTAAGGCAGCTGGCAAACTTCAAAATACAACCAGTGGAGATGTGGAACATACAAGGAGGCCACACACTTGGAGCAGCAGGAAACCCTGCTGCTCTTGGTGTTCCTGCCTGCAGCAGGTACTCACCGGGCGGGCCTGGGGACTCAGGTAGGGCTCAAAGTCATCATCATTCAACCCATCCTTCTGGTGCAAAGAGCCGTTTTGCACTGAGAAGAGACGTGTCACGTTAGAAAAACCTATGTAATAAGCTCCCATTATTATCAGGTTAAAGTATTTAAAGCCAAACCCTAGACTATAACGAATTTCTGCCAATTCTAACACTTAGCCCACGGCACACAGACACATCCCCACCGCACAGGCATCACCTGCAAACTATCCCCAGCCCAGTAGCCAGGCCCAGTCGCAGGGTTTATGTCCCTCCCGGCAGGTTTTAGGGAGACCCTCCCTCTCCCGGCGGCGGGATCCTCCCGCTCCCAGGCGGGCCCGCCCGGCCCCCCGGGATCTCACCTTTGTTGCCTTGGCCTTTGGGTCTCTGGCGCGACAGCGGCGACGTGGGGAGAAAAAGAGGGAAACCGGTGAGTCAGAGGGACAGACGCGCCTCGGGTGGGGACTCAGGCCCGGGCCGGTGACGGGGGGGGGACAGAGCCAGCGTGGTAAACAGACCCGTTGCGGTTGGGGAAGCCAAGGCCCGGCACGGACAGACCTGGCCCGGCGAGGGGAGAGATCCGGCCCGGCGGGGTCGAGCCCTACGGGGACAGGCCCGGCCCGGCCGCATCACAATGGAGCGTAGCTCAGCGACGGGAGAGGAGTAAGGCTGCAGCCGCCGCCCGGCCCGACCCGGGGCGCAACCTTCGTTAGGCCCAGAGCCGCGGCCTCGCCCGGCAGGGCCGTCCCGGTATCGGCGCGGGGGACTCCTACCTGCTCCAGGAGGCTGCTAGCCGACATGGCTCCGCGGCGGGGCTGCAGGCGGGGCGGGGCGGGGCGGGAGGCGGCGGCGCTTTGTCCGGGCCAGACAGTAGCCCTGGCGGACTCGGGGCGGCCGCCGGCGGAGCGGGGCGGGGGAACGCTCTATGCCACCATCCCCACCCCACCCCCCGGCCGCGCGTCTCTATGGCCCGGGCCCGCCGCCTGGAGCTCCCCCCGCCCGGTCACGCGGCACCGCGCGCGCCCAGGCACAATGGCGGGAAATGAAAGGGGGCGCAGTGCATGCCGGGACGGCGGAGGACCGGAGCCGGGGGAAGCAGCGCCCCCGTTCGGCTGGAAGTGGGAGATCTCTTAAAGGGCCAGGCGGCCCCACTGAGGTTTTAAGACAAAAAATGCCAAATTCAGGACCCGGTTGCGGGCTCAGCCCAACCTCATCCTGTCGCGCCACGACATTTTATCTCCTCCTGTGCCCAGTCCAGCACCCCAGGGTGCAGAGGACTCAGGGGACATCACAGTCCTATGGGACCCCGACCCAGGTCAAGGGGGCTACCTGGTGTTGGTTGGGTGTACAGTGAACAGGGAGCCCAGATTCACCCCCTCTTCCCGGCCAAGAGACGGGAACAGCTCCAACAGGGACCTGACACGAACTGCTGTATGCCTGGATTGGGGAAGGGAGTCCCCTAAAGGTCCCCATTCCCCTTCAATCAAGGGAAGCAAGGAAGCAAACCAGAGGAGAATGGAGGGAAGGTAGCTGCATATAGAAGGAGGTAGATCCCTGATCCAAAACCACAGAATCCCAGACTGGTTTGGGTTGGGAGAGAGCTGAAAGCTCACCTTATTCTACTCCCTGCCATGGGTAGGACACCTCCCACTATCCCAGGCTGCTCCAGGCCCTGTCCAACCTGGCCTTGGACACTTCCACGGACAGGGTAGCCACAGCTTCTCTGGGCAACCTCTGCCAGGGTCTTCCCACCCTCACAGGGAACAATTCTCTGTCCTCTGGCAGTGGGGAAGCAATTCCTCCTTGACCTGCTCCTCCAGGCCCTTTTCCAAAGTTCCTCTCCAGCTCTCCCGGAGCCCCTTTAGGCATTGGAAAGGCCTCTGAGGTCTCTCTGGATCCTTCACTTCTCCAGGCTGAGCATGGGAGCTGTTTCCACCTCCACCCCAAGCCAGGAAACACTTCCCAGGGGCCAAGATCAGAGCAGCAGCAACCACCCCTCACAAATTGGGATTCAGGAATCTCTGTCCATCCCCTGCTGTCCCCAGGGCTTTGGAGGCACAGCCTTTCACCTCTCCAATGAAAAAATTCCATTGGAGCTTAATTCCACTTTTCCTTTTAATGCAAAAAAATAGCCAAACACATCTTCCTACCCTCCCTCACCCTCCCCAGGTGTTTTCTTTGCTGTTGTTTTGCTTAATATTTCCAGCCAAGCAGCTCCCACCCTCCCAGCCCTCCCAAACCTCCGTGGCTCTAAAGCCACCCGGTGCTTCCCCCCCTTCCATTTTCCCAGTGTGGCAAACCCCAAATGCATCTCCAACCACCAAAAAAGATGAGGGAAAGAGGGAAAACAGCGGGGTGCACAGTATTTCAGCAACGTGCCAGTTCTAACCCTGCCAAGAGATTATAGGAAGACAGAAGAAGAAATAATACAAAAATAAAACCACCAAACGAGTAGCGACAAGCATGGAGCAGCCTCAGCACACAGTGTAAACAGAAGCTGTCCCAATCCAAAATCTGGCTCTCCCGGAAAGCAACAGCACAACATGCTTTGTACACCCTGAAAGGTCCCTGCGGCACTGAGCAGCCAAGGGGAAGGATCTGGGTTTGAGCTTGAGTTGATATTTTTTGCCTTATACAAAAGGCTGAAGTGATCTCGGAGTCTTCAAGCGGTGTTTGCAGCACCCAGCCTTGCCAGGCAGGGAAAGGGATGTGGGAAAAGTGCCATGGGAAGAGGAGGGATAGGGATACAGGGACCCTGAGAAAACGTCCCAGGGCTTTGCAGCTGAGAAACCTGGACAAGGGAAGGGAGAGAGCAAACAAATACAAAAAATAGATATAAAAACAGTTTGGGTGGAGGAGAAGAACACGGACAGTAAATTCATTGTACTGCTGGCCTCCCCAAAGCAAGAAAAATAATAGAAAATCCCATTTGAGGTGACAGTGAAGGGTCTGACAGAATTCCCTTCCCTGGGTAAAATAAAAATACAAATGAGGTACCTGTTCCACCCCAAATCTGTCACCCCTTTTCATAGCCACATCCACACGCAAGCGTTATTATCTCTCAAAGTCTCTGGGCCAGGGCAGCCCTGGAGCAGAAGCACCGAGGCATGGCTATATCCTCCGGGTTGGGTTGTCCAGCAAAGATCCAGTCTCTCCTTGACCCTGCCACAGGTGGTGTTGTTCAGTGCTCCACGGAGACAGAGCCTTGTCGATGTCTCACGTGTATTGTCAGCTTTGTTTTAAAAAACAACATTTTACACATACACACACATATATATATGTATATATACATATATATATATACAGTACAATGAAAATATCCATGTTAACAAATGGGGTGACTGGAAAAGATGCTTAACAAAAAAGCCTGAAATAAAACAAATTCCCAACTCTTCCCCTAACTGATGTGTGCCTTCCCCACTAGTCTTCCAAGACCACAATCTCCACATTATGGACCTGGTGCTGATGGTCTTCTACATCTCCCACCACCTTCTCCTCAGTCCTCAGCTCTGTCTCCAGGATCACAGCTTTGCCCTCTGATTCATTGGTGTCCGCCTCAGGATCTGGCGCTGGGTCAATCTCTATGATGGTCTGGCCATCATCCGAGGTGCCTTCCACAGCTTGGATGGTGGAAGTGATGCCAGACTCCATGGCCACCAGTTCCACGGGATTGACCATGGCTGCCACATTGGCCAGGGCCCCACTGTCCTGCATGGCTGCTGAGCTCAGCAGTGCCAGGCTGGAGGACGGGTGGAGGGTGACGGTGTCCGAAGAATTGGTCTTGGAGGATGAAACCACAGTGGCATATCGAAAGAGCTGGGAGCCAGACGGCAAGGTATGAACAGTCACCGGGCTGGAGCCTTGGTTGAGGGTTGCCACTGGGATGTTGCCCACAGAGAACTGTTGTCCAACAGGTGCGATGGCAATGGGGGAGATGACAGTGAACTGAGGCTGCTGGATGGGGGTGGAGGGGCTCAGGATGGTGGCAGAGGCTGGGCGCTGCAGACGGGGTCTCTTGGGAGGCTTGGGAGCGCTCATGGGCATCAGCACCACATTCTGGATGGTTTGGGACTTGGCCTTCTGGTCCCTGGCAAGTTTCTTCTGTTCTTCCAGCCGGCGCTCCAGGTCTGCAAAGGTAATGGTTGAGCAACATATCACACCAGGTTAAGTAGGAGCTCCTGGGGCTCCAGAACCATCATTCCCAGGTTTGTGACAGGAAGTCACCCAACCACCCAGTGAGCCTGATCTTGGCTTCTCCCTTGAGATCAAATGGCACCGAAGGAAAAGGGTAGGTTCTCCTGCCACCCACATAAACCTGGTCAATGTTCCAGCTGCCAGCACCTGGGGAAGACACAGGTAATATTCCATACTTGTTGGCAACTGCTACTGACAAGGAGATGGACATTTCTGCTCCCCACAAAGCTAAACCCACCTGCAAGGGAGAGTGGATAAACCCCCCCAGCAGTTGGAATTGCTTCTTGAGCTTGGCTGGGTCACCTCCCCAGGAGCCAAGCACCTACACTGGGGACAGCCAGCAGGATGCCTGGGTGAATGAAACATTCCCCTCAACCCTTGTCAGTGGGAACACTGGGTGCCAGAAGTAGCACAATGACCTAATTTATCCAGGGCAGTAGGGGACTAGGACATCTCAGATAACAACAGATCCTACAGGATGTGGTGAGGAGGAAGGCACATCCAGTGAGCAGTTCTGGGGATCCCAGGTCAGTCAGTGGCTTCACCTCAGGGGAAGTGAGCAGGATGCCCAATAGCACCACAAGACAAGCAGATAGCCCTGAGAGCCAAGACAAGGAGAAGCTCAGCACCCTATACTCAGAGACGCTTATTAGTTTGGGTACAGCACAACACTGTCCATGGCTCAGGTGACCATGGCACAGCACTGAGCTGGCAGGTTCTATCCCTGAAATCCTGAGGGAAATTGGACACATGCCCACAGCACCCCAGCTGCAGCAAAGGGCACAGACTTTGGGCTGTCCAATGTCCCAAGTAACTGCTCTCTGTGAGGCTGGGGAGAGAGGAAATTCTATGCAAGCCCTAGGACAGAAAAGGGTTAGGGTTGGATTGGGATGCACTTGTTTTGGAGCAGCCTGTACTGAACACTAACCCTAATTCATTGGGGTTGTGTGGAAGGAAAGTCATGTCCATTCCCAAGAGTAGCAGCAGGATGTGAACTGTTAGTAGGCACTTTACCTGCCAGTGTGTAAAGAAACTGCTCCTCTCCTTGCTCTGTCTGGTTTTTCCTGTTGTCCAGTACCTTCTTGACTGTGTCCATTAAGCCAAATGTATGGGCAACATTGTTCAGGACTGCAGCATCTCCAAGGAAAGGGCACAGGGATGTTACAACTTGGGCACTCAAAAGATGCTCCTGTTTCACCAAAATTTTTCTACTGCTCTTTAAAACTCTCTCTGTTCTTTCACAAGAGCTAGCTGAAAAAGGGAAACCAAACTCCCTCAATCTTCTGACATCCCTGGATTAAATAATTCCATTCACATGATAAAACAAATTGGACAGAGTTGTGGCACTCAAGCAGCTCCTCCTAGCTTCTGCAAATTAAAGTGCAATTTGTTATCACAGAAATACAAATGAGCTCTCCACCTACAAATCATCACCCCATGCTGCTGACAGTGTCATTAATGTGCCAAGCTCCACTGAAAGCTGTACAAAATGTCTATAAAATCCACTGACTTCAATCACTCACAGTTCCCAAAACCTGACACCTACCAGACTCAAAGATGTGCCAGTCCAAAGTTAAATTAGAAAATTAAAAAAAAAAAAAATACTCTGGGTAAAATGAAGTTTGTGGCTACATGGATATTCTTTCAGGAAGAGCATGAACACAAGAGGTGTTCACAGGGGCATGTGTCAAACCAGATTAGGGAGCCTGATCCAAGTTAAAAATAACCCTAAAAAGGGGAGGGGAATTATTTTTAACCCAGGTAATTTTCCTCATTGTTTCTGGTTCAGCCCCCAGAACAGGTTTTCTGGCACCAATGAAAGCAGAATGAAAAGTGAGGGGGCAGGACCTGTTTAAGCCTGCAGTGTGACAGGGAAGTGTTTGAGTAACTCCAGTATAAGTGACTCTGGGAAAGCTTCCATGAGGGCTGGGAGCTGTGGGCAGTCATCTGATGTTCCCAGCAAGCTGCCAGGGTCACTTTGCTCAGGGAACAGCATGGAATGTTGTGTCCTTGTGCTCTGAAGCAAAGGTACTTCACAGCTGGGCAGGCTGAGAACACAGACTGTGCTCCCACAACTCAGCTAAATGAGTGGGAACTCGCTCCCCATCCTGACTCACCAGCTTCACATGGTGGAATGGACCCTTAGCACAGTCGTTTGTTTTCTTTTCGCCCGCAACTGTCCTTTTGAAGTTTCTTCCTCACAACCTACCTGTTATCTGGAAGGGAGACTGACCCAACCGCTGCTGCACACCTCTTAGGACTTCTTCTATCTCCTTCTGGATGTTGCACACCACCTCTTCCATCAGCCCCACATCAGCTATTCCTTTCCAAAACATCAGTGTGTCCTCTGGCACAAAAGAGGAGGAAAAGAAGTCAACATGTGCAAGCATTTGGCATTTTTCCCACAGGGCCACCTTAAACTTCTCAGGCAAGTGTATCTTTTCAAGGTTACTACCTTTGCAAGGTAATTTGGCTACTGGGGTGGACAGGACATGTGAAAAAAATAACCAACCCAAAATCAAGCAAAATGGACTTCAGGCAGCAAATCAGGAACAGGTTTTTAGGCAAGTCCATGACTTCCAAGGCAACATTTCACATTTTTGCAAGGTGCAGAGCTTAAAATCATTATTTGAGGAAATTCTAGCTCAACTTCCATACTGATACAACAAGGGAATGCAAGGCCAGAGAGAGACAGAGCAGAGAGTTGACAGGGAACAAACACGACTCTGCTCTTTGTTGGTTCCAGCCTGCCTCCAGGCTGGCAGATGTGTTTCACATCCTTGGAATAAAACAGAAAAGCTCCTCACTGTAACCAGTAACATCTGATCTGAGGGATCATCCATCAGCCACGAGGCCAGGGCCGAAGTCCTACAGTGCTGAGGAGCTCCATTTGTAGAAAGCCTAGATGCCTGGGTAATGCTGGAGATCCAAGGGGCTGGGGGACAGCTTTGTCATTGCCCAAAATTTACTTATTTGCAGGATTTGGGTTTCCAAAATGTAACAGGGGAGGAGAGGGGAAGAAAACACCCAACAAGCAGCCTGAACTTACCTGAAATCTCATCCGTGTCCTTTTTCATGCCTTCCTCAGTGGCCATGGTGACAGCAGCTGTCAGAGCCGAGTTCCACTCGATCCCCTCATCCATACTCTCCTCCGACAGTGCTATCTGGGTGATGCTCCCTGCCAGAAAGCCTCCATCAGCTCCGTCCAACAGCCTGAATCCCTGCTTTGTTTCCCAAACCCTCAGCTCTCCCCAGGCTCTCTTTCACTCTTTGGGCCAGGTTTGTGCTTCTCATTGTAACTGTGACTGTGAAAAGCACTGGGACTTCTGAAGGGAAAACCATGTGCCTTGCACAGTGGAGTCCTGGCTCAAGGGAGCAGAAAGGGATCAGAATAAAGAAGGGAACAAATAAGGCTCAGCCCAGCCACCCTTCTCCCCTTGTATCATTCACAGGAAGCTCTGCACCCCTAATCCCCCACAAAATGGATCTGGGGTCTCAGCTGGTTTACAGAAGAGAAACTGATCTGATGCAATTTTAAGTTTCTGGATCAAATTTGGGACTAAACCAACATGCAGCCACTGTAAGTTGGCTACGGTGCTTTCCAAGAGATTCTCCTTACCCTAAGGACAACTCTGCCATGTCATCCACCCTGGGGCTCAGAGAAATGTAACCTATCCAGCTTAATGATATGGTACAGTTGGGAATAGTCTTCTCCCTTAACCTCAGCAAAGAGATCAGTTTCTACTCTGGAGCACAGGATCACTGAGAACTTGCAGTTGGAATGACAATCAAATCACATCCACCCACCACATCCTGTACATGGATGTTCTGAAGGAGGACAACATTTCTAAATTCACTCCTGAGACCAACTCATGCCTTTAAAACAGACTCCCAAATGGAAAATTTATCAGAAAATGCTGTGTGAGGTCTCACAGGTGTTTGATCCCTGCAAGGCTTTCAATCCTTCTGGCTATGAAGGCTGCCTCTCTGGAAAGCAGCTTCTTGATGCCAGCAGTTTTCCAGCCTTCCCAGTCCCGCAGAGCAGAGCTCCCTGACAGATGCTGCCAAGACTTCTCCAAACAGACACGAGAAGCATTTTCCTTCCCAGAAGCTAGAGCAATCTCCTGGTGCGACTTCCCTGATGTGCCCAGGGAGAAGGTGTAAAGCTTGTGTAGGAGGGAGAGGAGCATCAGAGGAAAGTTCCCATGGCACTGGTAACTGGTTTCGTACCATCAGCTGAGGCTGGAGTCTGCACCACGCTCTGCTGCCCTGGCACTGGTGCTCTTGCACTGCTGATCAGGAGATCAAACTTGGTGCTTCGACAGGTGTTGGTGCAAACTTTGTCGTGTTGGTAGAAGTCAATCTGCCCTGAATCCATCATCTTCCTGTGCAGGGAGTGGGGATAGAATAAGGCTAAGCTCAAATCTCAGCCTAGACACAAATGGGAATTCCACCTGGGAATGCTATGGCCATGGGAAGCAAAGAGAAAGGGACATCCCCTTCTTGCCCACTCTGCACCCAAAAAATCTCCTGCAAGGCTTACAAATGGCAAACACAAGTGATCCCCAGCTACATATACAGAGTTTCAGTCCCGTTCCACCCCAGGTTCCCCAGGCGATGACACTTCTATCCAGGGTGAGGGATCCTGACTCTCACATCATGGGGTCAGGATCTCTACAGGCTGCTGGCCAGGTACTGTGGGCCTCCAAGAGGCCTCCTGGGGACTGCAAAGCAGACAAAATGCCTGCTGGGGGTCCTGCAGCTGCAGGGGTGGAGCCCTAAAGCAGGACAGGGTCAAATACCTTAGCATGATTCCTCCAAGGCGAATGGCTCTCTTCCAGTCCTTCAGGGTAGACTTCCCAGCCAGGTGAACAAAGTGCTTTGGGCTAATCAGTTGGTCATTGAACTGGCAACAAGACAAGCAAAGGCTCAACTAACAGGGTAATATAACTTGGGAGGATTGGGACATCCAACACAGCTCACCTGAGCTCCCGCTTCCACCCAGAGAGGAGCTGCTTCTCAGATCCCCCCAGCTTTGATCGCCTGGGCACAGGAATGCTCACAGCTCCAGGAAGCATGTCTGTAGAGATGCCCTGCCAACCATAGGCATTCACAGCCCTAACCAAGAACAGCCCTGAAGGCTTTATATGAACCAAATCATCTCCTATGAACACGTATAGTCATTCTGGAGATCATTACAGGAAGTTTCTGTTACATCAAATGGCCCAGCAGCATCCAGCTGACACATCAGTTCTGCCCTACTCCAGTGACTTGAGTAGTTCCTGCTGAGGGGCAGAAGCACAAGGGACTTTGCTGTCACACTGCTATGCTCCCAGGTGGGAAGAGGTAACACCAAGATTTCCCTTCTCAATGCAACCTGCTTGTCAGGGAAGTGACAGGAGTGGAGTACCAGGACACCAAGGGAAAGGGAGGAGGCAAAGCTCTGCCAGATGTCAACACACATCTCCTGCCTGCCTTCAGTCCCTCCTCAAGGGCCAACACAACTGAAATACAAAGTGGGTAATATCCTTCCCTCCTTAATACACTCTTTCCATGCTTCTCCCCATCAAAAAACAACTTTAGCACCAACAATCAAAGGACTCAGGTTGAGACACAAAAACTTCCCAGGAATTCCTGTGGAGGCCAATAGCACAGCTGAAGAGCAGAGGAGGAATCCACTGTGAGTTTCTCCCTTACCTTCACACACTTGACATTAATTCCTGGACAGACAAACTTCTTCCAGAGAAGGATGGCTTTGCTCTCCCCACAGGTGATGGGATAGGCAATCTCGATTTCCTCACTCGTTTCAAGGGTGCTGGGGTCTGAGGGAGGAACAGCTCAAAATGAAACTTTCCACCCAAGAAGCTCCAATCCTACAAGGCAGGAGCTGGAAGCTCATAGGTTGTGAGACCTGCACTTGGGAAACCAAAAAAAAAAGGGCAGATCCCAGTTCAGGATCAGTCCTCTCTTCATCTTCTCAGAATTAGTTCAGATTAACTCTAACAGCAACTGGCATCTGCTTTTTTGGTATAACAATGCTCCAAATGAAGCTCATCTATAAGGAAACATGAAATCAGAAATCCAACACATCTCTAAGGGGGGAGGTGTAAATGAGAACAATCTAAGTGGCAACAAAATGGTTTAAAATTTGAAGCACAGATATCTCTCCGATTCTTGCAGCTCTGGTATCTCTTTAGCAACAATATCAGATATTTACTGATAAGATATTCTCTTCATGTGCAGAGTTTCTGCTAATCCTGCCAAAAGACTCATACCCACACAGGAACCAGAACTCTAGTCAAGATCTAGTGATAGCACCTGGTGACAGGATCCTTTTCCCCCACACTGCTCAGGATGGCAGAGAACATTTGGAGCCAACCTGCTCGGTTCTTATGAACGTCCAATCCAAACCACCGGACAGTTGGTTCAGCAAAGACCTCACAACCAGAGCCTGACGTTTCAGCCACCCACCTCATCACTGTCATTCCTGCTGCCAGTGTCTGCACACCAGGGTGACATCCTCGCTCCCCTGGACCCCATGGGAGCACTTATCACTCATTGCAGGAGAGCCAGGATGTTGCTTCTGTTACTTTGAGACCAAGCAGTAACAGCAGATTCTTATTCCAGAATGTGCCCAGCCCCTGTACCCATATCCATGCATATCACGGATATCATGGAATCAGCATCTGCAGGGGCAGAGCCAGAAGGAAGCCCAGCAAACTGGAGGCACCAGCCCTGCACAGGAGGGGATTCATCCATGCCAAGTGGGAACTCACCAATCCCTTCTTCCAGCTTGTGGATGGTGTGCGTTTCCACAGCCACCACAGCGGCGCTGGCCTCGGAGCCCTCTTGGTAAATCCTGTGGTGAAAGTGGCCATCCATAAACAAACTATATAAATCACGGGAAATTAGAATTCACAGCACAGGGTTAAAAAAAATCAGTAAATTTCTTTTGGCCAGTCCTCAAGGGACATTAATTTTGTCTGATACAGTTTCAATTACCTGGAATTTTCTGCGAACACTAATAAAACAAAACACTAGCAATCCCAAGGGCTGACACATGCAGAGGCATTCCCAGTGCTGTCATCCCACCCTGCACTCTGCCAACGCCACTGAGGCAGCTCTGCAGGCTTCCCTGTGCCTTTTTGTCTGCTTTCTGCCACCCTCGACAGCAGAAAGCAGAGCCATGTGTCCCAGGATTTCCATTCCAGCCCTGTGTGACAACCCAGCACAGGTGACCACAAAGGGAGGTAACTGTCAGGCCCACAGCCACCGTGCCCTGCAAATATCAAACTAGAGCCATTTTTTTTCCATCCTGATTGATCCAGAGTGAAGATGAAGCTACTCTCTGCAGCAGCTGCGAGGGAGCTACAAAGTCCCCTCCACATCCCAGCCCCACTTTATTTTAGAAGAGGATTATTTTAGGGGAGAGCTGGCACAGAGGCACCTGAAGGTCTGAACACACAGACCACCGCATCCAGCAGCTGCACTGTGACAAAAACCAACCCTGGGACTGGAGAAGGAAGAGAAGGACTGGGACACTGCCCCCACGATCAGGGAGCACTGCATCAACACAGCTTCACAGGAGAATTTCAGCCCTCGGTGGCCCCGTGACAGCCACACACACAAAAAGATTTAATCTATTGTATTTTCTCTCTCCCCTGCGTGGCACAAAACCAACGCAGACCTGGAAAACACAGTGACACTCCGTCCCTACACCACAAAAACCCACAGGGCTCCCCCCAATCCCACCTCGCACCCCCCAGTCACACCAGTACCATCCTACTCACCCTTGCTGCACTGGCTGGAGCTGCAAAATCACTTGGGTTTTGGTATCCTCCGGGTTCTCCCCTTCATTCCCGTCACTTGGTACAACCACCACATCACCCACAGGGACGCTCACCTCGGCATTCGCCATCTCTCACATGAGCCCAGCGAGGTTTTCTCCTCCCTGTGGATCATGAGAGCTCAGAACAGATCCCAGAGGCAGATCCCACCAGTGTCATCCCACTCATAACTTCCTGAGCCAGCAGCTCTCTCCAGCTCTGAGCCCCCCAACCTGGCACCAAGGAACAAACCCACATGGATGGCTTTTGGCAAGAACGTGTTTCCAACACAAAGCTTCTCCTGCTGGTCCTGGCCAGCAGTGCTTCCAACCACCCTTGTGGGATGCTCTGGTCCACCCCAGCATGCGCTGATACCTCACTACCAGGAGCATGCCTGTGGATGATCCTTCCCAGTAGAAGTTGGTGTCAAGGTGTGATGCTAGCGCAGGAGGACCTGACAAGGGTCTTGGAGAAGCTGCACTCCCAGGGGATGTGCCTATGGTTGTGCACAAGGCATAGAGGTGGTTTTGCTATAGTGTGGGGCTGGAAGTCATCCCTGCAAGCCTGGGGTCTACCAGCTGCTGGGAAAGCCAATCTCAGAATCGTGCAATGGTTCAGGTGAGAAGGATCCTGAAAACTCATCTCGTCGTACCCCCGGCCATAGGCAGGGACACTTTCCACTGGACCAGGGTGCTCCAAGCCCCATGCAGCCTGGCCTTGGACACTTCCAGGGATGGGGCAGCCACAGCTTCTTTTCATAACAAGATCTCCTGGCGGGTGGCCCTGGTCGGGATACACCAGGTCAAACCTGGGGAGCCGCTGGCACAGGGGCCACGCGCCCACCCGGCTCCAGGCGTGGGACTTCCGCGGGTCCCCGCACCACATCCCGCTCCGAGGGGAAAGACAGACCCACCCGGGACCCCGCGAGAGACGGCGGGGCTTCCCCAGGATATCTGGCGCAGGGGGGGGGGTCAATACGACACGGACAAATCGCGGGGGCGATCGCGCCGAGGCCTTAAGTGAGGAGGAGGGGGCTGCACAGGGGAACCCCCCCGGCCCCCGCGGGCTCTCCGGGCTGCGGTCCGAGGGTCGCCGCCTCCGCCGAGCTGGGGTCGAGAGGTCACGTGAGCTGGGATCCGCGCGGCCACCCCGCGGCGCGCACGGCGGCGAAGGGGCGTGGCCCGCCCGGGGGAGGGGGCGTGGCCTCTCCCCCCCTCCCCACGGCGCTGGCTACCCCCCCGCTACCCCCCCCCCGAGCGGCGCGCGCGCGTCGTCCGCCCTCGCGGCAGCGGCGCCGGCACGTACGGCGGCGACCCCTCCCTCCCCTCTCGGCGGGGCCAGGCCCCCTCCCGCCCCGCCCCTTCGCGGCGCATGGTCCCTCCCGGCCCCCGTAGCGCGGCGCCGGCTGGGCCTTACCGTCGGCGAGCGGCCGAGACCGGGGGCTGTGGGACGGGGGAACGGGGGGATGGGGGGGGAAGGTGGGCCGGGCAGCAGCAACGCATGCGCAGTGCCCGCCGCGGCCTCGGCCGCCAGCACTTCCGGCCACCGCCTGCCTTAAAGGGGCCGACCGGTGAAGCACGCGGCGCTGTGCTGCTCCCTGGTGGCCGCCGGCAGTATCGCCTTCGTGGCTTCACTCGCCAGCCCACGAGTTGCTGGTGGGGGTGTCACGGCAGGGTTCGCTCCCCCCTGGTCTCAGAAGCGAGTCGTGGAACGCGCTACCGGGTATCTCCCGCCCCAAGCCAGCCCCGGCCGGACCACCGGGACCTCCCAAGGCCGGCCCGCCGAATTCCACACTGCCCCCGCCGCGCGGGCCGATCGACTGACAACGAGGCAGACCAATGGTGATGCGGGGTCGGACGGCGACAACCAATGGGCGCTGCAATGCGGGGGGGGGTCGGGGCGACATCGCTGCGGAGCCGCGGCGGGGCCGGGGCAGCGGCGGCGGAGGATGATGATGATGGTGGTGATGATGATGATGATGCGGGTGGGCAGCGGGGCGACCTCGGGGGCGCTGGCGCTGGTCCTGGTCCGCCGCTGCCTCCTGCTCGGCCCTCTGGGGCTGCGCTCAGCCGGCGCACAGGACGGTGAGTGCTGATTGCGGAGCGCTGGCGGCGGGACGTCCCACACCGGGACGCGGCACTAGGAGCCGCACTCCCACCAGCCCGGAGCTTCTGCTTCCCTCGCCAGGATGGGACTGGAACTTGGTGCGGGATGGGAACTGGGAAGGGGGGCCGGACGGGCCGGGAGGGGCTCTTCGCTGTGTCTGGAACGGGATCGAACCAGGATGGGCTACCGGGAACGGTTCCCCGCTGTGTCCAGACCGGATCACACCGGGACAGGATCGTCGTGGTTCGCCTGCTCCGCTTCCTTTCCGGAACAGGATCTCTGCCATTCCTCTGTCCCGTTACCGATCCGGGACAGGGTCCCTGCCATCCCTTTGCTCCAGTACCGATCCGAAACGGGATCCCCGCCATCCCTCTGTTCGGGTACCGGACTGGATGGGGTCCTCGCCGTCCGTCTGTCCTGGTACTGGTCCAGGACGGAGTCCCCAGTTCCTCTCTGCTCCGGTACCGGACGGGACGAGCTCTGTCCCTGTCCCCACCACCCCCGCATCACGCCGGTCCTGCACCCCCCATTTTCCCCGCAGCCCTTACAGCTCTCTCTGTCCCTGCCTCCGGTGGCGAGTACCCCGGGGTTCCCAAGAGTACCGCGTTCGTCTCCATCCCGCCTGCAGGGCTTTCGCAGGGAACCCCTAATCCACGGGTTAAGAGGATCGCTGGTGTTTATATGCAGAACCGGGAGAGCCGGGCAGTGGGCTCCATCCCGGGGATGCCGCGGAGCCCGGCAGCGTCGCTCCTGGGGGGATTTGTAGCCGAGGGGTCCAGGACGACCCTGAGGGAATATTCACCCAAACGTGATCCCAAAGTTCGTGTTTCCCTCGTCCCTAATTCATCCAAGAGCGAGGAAACGACACAGCATCCAAAGCATTATTCTCCCCGAGGGGAAACTGAGGCACGGGGACAGGCTGGGATCACTGGAGGCAGAATCCCGCTACGTCCCCCAAGTGTGATTTGGGGCACATCATGCAACGGGTTTCCACCTTATCCCAAACCCACTGGTGGACGTGGGGGAGCTTTCCCGGGGCTGGCAGCACGACAGGCTTTTATCAGAGCATCGCCCTGTTGTGTCTTTATTGCATCCTTTAAGAAAACAAACAAATCCCTGGCAGGAATGACCCCAGCGGGGTCTGGCCGTGAATTCACCCTCACCCACCAGAAATCCAGTTTTTGCATTTTTTGGGAGGGGAGTAAAGTTTCCATGGCTGGGGGCAAGTCCTCTGTGGCTCTGTCTTGGCTATTCCTGGCCCCTTGGTAGCATCTTTGGAGCCAAATTCCCAGGAGTGTCTGTAGTTCTCAGTTTATCTCTGGCATTCCCTCCCGGCATGCACTGGTGACACTATGATGTTTTTAACGAAGATTTCCTTTCCTTGGATGGGTTTTTCCCGGAATGGGTCCCCACAGCTCCTCTGTACCATCACTATGGATATGGAGCTGGGGAGGATCCATCCAAGACCCCCACAGTTGGGCTCATGTGTCCAGCTGTCCTGGCCATAGAGGGTTTTCCACGTAGATCCCAATGGCTTCAAATTTCTGTGCTAGAAACTCCCCCTAAAGACCCCAAATTTCTCTCCCCCACCAGAGCACCCCTTCTGGGAGCTATTGTCCTGGCAGCCCTGGGGTCCCCACTGCCCCCCCCCCCCAGCCCCTACTCTTGGAGGGCCTGATCCTTTCCAGCTCTGCTCTAATGCTGCCTAGAAGGGGATAAAGTTGGTGATTTCTCCCAGTCCCACAGCATAAGCCCCCAGTTTGGATGCCAGCCCTTCCCACAGGCTGGGGAGGAGGGGGCTCTGTGGGGATGCTGGCAGCTTTCACCTCCAGCCCCCCTTTTTTTATCCCTGCAGGGTTTTCCCTTTCTAGCACTTTGTGTCGTCTCCCAGCGACAGTGAGGGGAGCCAAGGCTGGGCAAATCTATGCCCACCCATCTCTTTTCTGTCTGGCTGTGCCAGGATGATGCTTGGCAGGAGCAACAGCTTTTGGGGGATGTGGAGAGGAGGTGTTGAGCACTGGACTCCTACAAACACCCGGCCCACACAATGGGGCTGAGTGGTGCCTACCCCCTTTCCCTGCACCCCAGTCCTGCCCAGAAATTCCAGCCAGGTCTCAACGCCAGGTGCTTTCTGCTTATTTCCAGGATATTCCCTCATGCCCAGAGGCAGTGAGCCCAGAGAAAAGCCCCTTTTGTGGTGGTGTTTGGCATCACCCTGGGAAGGAGACAATGAGGATGCAGCTGCCCAAGGTTATTCTCAAGGTCAAGGCTGCAGTCAGAGGGTCCCGGGGGCTGCCCAGTGCTGTACAGCGCCATGGAGTGGCAATATTCTCTCCCTGAATCCTTTTATATCCCTCCAAATTGGGGTTCTCCTGGACTGGGAGATGTAGAGGAGCTGAAGGTAGAGGGGTGTGCTGGGTGGCTGTGGGGGAAACTATGGTAGCTTCATCCCTGGATCCTGCTGTGGACAGTTCCCAGTACCAGTGGCATCCAGAAAAGCCACCAGAAAATGATGCTTTGGATGAGGAAAACATTTGAAGAGGCTGCAGGTGCCATGGGGTTGTTCTGGGGGGGGTCTTACTAGGGGGGAAAACTGAGGCAGGGAACAGCCTGTCTGAGCCCTCTCCCCGGTGTCTCTGCAGGAAATGGCTGTGGCCACACGCTGCTGACACCCCACAGTGGCACCCTGAGCTCCAAGAACTACCCGGGCACATATCCCAACCATACCATGTGCTGCTGGCGGCTCCAAGCCCCTGCGGGCACCTCCCTACTCCTGGCATTCGGGGATGTGGATCTGGAGCCCTCGGAGCACTGTGCCCACAGCTCCTTGCTGCTCACTGACACCCAGACTGGCACTGCCTATGGTAAGGGGGGTCCTGGGAGAACTGAGGCAGGGGTGATACAATGTTGTGTATAGGGAGAACAGCAGGAAAATCTGGGGGTTTAGCTGATTTCATCATGGGGAGGGAGGATATCTAAGGAGGGGGGTAACCAACTGGGGTAGTATCCAAGGAAGGGGGTATTTGAGGAGGGGATATCCAAGGAGGGGAATATTGGAGGATGAGGGGTACCCAGTATCTGATGAGTGGGTTATCCAAAGAAGAGAAACATCCAAGGGTGGGGATACCTGAGAAGTGGAGGTACCCAAATGGAGTGGATGGATGGAGGATGTCAAAGGAGAGTAATATTTGCAAATGGGGATATATCTGAGGAGGTGGGTACCCAAGGAGATGATTATTGCCAGGCTTGGGTGGGGAACTGCCCAGCTGGGACCAGATGCAGCCACTGAATAATTAATTTGTCGGCCCAGCTGCTGCCCAAACGCTTCCCAGGAATTTCCCAGGCAGATTTAATGGTCTTGGAGGGATTTGGCAGCACTGGGAACATGACGAGCGCTGAGGAAAACATCAAGTGATGGGGTGGGATGGAGGAGCAGCCCTGGTGAGGGGCAGGGACTGGATAGGAGATGCGATGGGAAATGTGGGATGGAAAGGAGCCGTCTTGGATCATGAGACTGGGAGTTTTCCCTGTTCTTCAGGGCTTTCACCCTTCCTGGGCTGGTCCCCAGAAGGGTGACATCATGCAAGGTCCCATCCCCTCTGCTGTGGCCTCAGGGACCAAAGCTAGGAGACATCCTGGCTCCAGGCTGAGACCCAGGAATGTGGGAAGGGAGGGGGGGACCCCAGATTATTGGGGGCCTGGGGGAGGTGGCTAGGCACCTGCAGCCCCTTTGGGTGCCTCAGGGCTATGCCAGCATGACACAGAGCTTGGGTTACACTCCCTCTCCCGTGGCTGACGCCGGTCCTTGAGAAGTCCCAGATGTTTTTCAGGAAGCGGCTGGAGCAGGCGGAGGCTGTGGGTTCCGTCCTGCTGACTCAGAGCCGGTGTCTGGCCCCTGGCCTGACTCCGTTGGGGTGTGGCAGGCAGGGTCCCCATGGGGGTGGCAGCCAAGGGATTCCCAGCTCCCAGGGTATCACCGAGATCCATACAGAGGTGGCACCACTGACCCAGGGCAGTGCTGGCATCTGGCAAGAGGTGGAAGGGAAATCTTCATGTGGGTCCTCTGCATCTCATCTGCATATTGTGCAAACTTCAGTTCTGTCACTTATGTGACATCTCCACGTGCACGTGTCCCATGTTTCCTGGGATTGACCTCCTGGTTCAATATGACCCAGGCAGGATGAGGGTGTGGGTCAGGGTAGGGAAACTGAGGCACGGGGGGAGGTGTCACTGGCAGCCCCAGGGGAACACAGGGACACAGTTCCCTGTCCCCAGAACAACAGGGGCATTTTCTCAATACATTTCTGGGTACCCAGAGGTCCCAGTGGTGGGCATGATACAGAGCAGAGCGATGTGGGGGACAGGGGGTGGTGGCAGTTCAGGGATTGGATCCACCTTCTGTCCCTAGCTGGGACAGAAGAGATGTCCCTAAGGAATCTGCCTGCCTGCTAAGCTGAAGTTTTAATCAGGGAGATGGAATTGCAAATTAATGTGGGTTAAATGGGGGGAGGAGACAGTTGAGGAAGCAGCTTCAGCAGCACCTGTGAAAGGGGACATGGGAGGAGACAAGGACACAGCTCCCATTTTGGGGTCCTGTGGGATAATGCTGCATATACCAGTCTCTGCAGTGGGGGATGTGGTGGCAGGTGCCCAGTGAGGGCAATGGCACCACCGTGGGGCTGGGACCACCCTGTCATGAGGTTGCCTTGGGATGGGACCACCTTGGGTGTAGGACCATCCTGGAACATGGGACCATTCTCAGGATGGGACCAGCCTGGCATGGGGCCTTGCTGCATGGGACCACCCTTCAGCACCCTGGTGCTCAGACTACCTTGAGGATAGGCCACCCTGGACGTGAAACAACTCTGGGACCACCCTGAGCAGAGTCCAAATGCCTGAGCCCCCTGGCCTTGGCAAGGACTAAGCTAGGGGAGGTGAAGTCCTGGAGTCCAGGTGCCCAAGTGCATCCTCAGGGATGCCAAATCCTCTCCATGGTGCCATCCCTGCTGGCAGGGCCCTACTGTAGGAACTCCATCCCTTCTGCTCCACTCCTGGTGACAAACTCCAGCACTGTGACCGTCCTGTTCAACACCACCAGCCACCGCTCGGGACGAGGCATCCTCCTGTCCTATGCCACCTCGCAGCACCCAGGTATGGGAGCAGCATGCTCTGGGACACAGAGACACCCCTGGGATGTGTCCTGGCCCATGCAGGGGCATGAAGGGAACTCCTTGCTGACCCCAGGATGAGCTCCCATTGCCCTGAGCTCCCTGAACATCCATGTTCTCCATGGGAGCCCCCAGGCCATACAGCCAGCTGGGACCCCTTTGAGAACCTTGAACCCTCAAGTCAGGTGGCACCCCAATATCAGGCAGTGCCAGAGGCACCATAGATTATGGGGCCAATGGCTGCAGGGAGCCATCCCTTCCTGCCCCTCCAGACATGGAAGTATGAAGGGCAGAACCCAGATGAGGAGCAGAATTCGATTGGGAAGGGGAATGGGATGCCCTGGGGCATAAGTGGGTGTGTGCTGTGGGGCAGGCAGGACCCTCACCCTGGGGTGTCCCTTCCTTGCAGACTTGGTCTCCTGCCTGGTTCGAGGCACCCACTACACCCAGGAGCACATCAGGTGAGTGGGGAATGGTCCCATTTTGGTGGCTCCTGCCGCAGTGGTCCCAATCAGCCCTGGTTTCATCCCTGTCCCTCTCCTGAAGTACACCTCTGGTAGGATGGGGAGCAGAGTGGGTATGCAAAGGGGGTTTGGATGGAAGGGAGCCCTCACCTACCCCTTACCATGTGTTTCAGTGTGTACTGCCCTGCAGGCTGCAAGGACATCCATGGGGACATCTGGGGCAACCCGAGCCAGGGCTACCGGGACGTAAGTGTGGGCACCATGGTGCACCTGCCAGGGATGGTCCCCACAGCACGTGTGGCCACTGCTTGTCACCCCCAGCAACCCAGAGGTGATGAGTGTGGCCTTGGGGTGCCCCACGGGGTGCTTGGGCCAACTCTGGGGGGCTGCCCTTACTCCCCACTCCCTGCAGACATCGGTGCTGTGCAAGGCAGCCGTGCACGCTGGGGTGATTGCAGATGAGCTGGGCGGGCAGGTCACCCTGTCCCGGGAGAAGGGGATCACGCTCTATGAGTCAGCCTTTGCCAACGGGCTCCGCTCCAAAAGGTGGGTGAGGAGTGGCTGGGGCTGCACCCCACATGGAGCTGCAGGACTCACCTGTGCTGACACTGGGAAACTGCCACCCCTCAGTTTCAGAGACCCCAGGGTTTATTCACCACATCTGATGCTCCCCCTGCGTTCTTCCACACAGGGGATCTCTGTCCGAGAAGCGACTCATATTCCACAAAGGTATTTTTTTCCTATTTCCCCTGAAATTAAGGCATGATTTTAGCTGTCAGACCTGGTGCCACCCCCATGTGCCTGGTTGGAGTTTTTGGGTTCCCAGTCTGCTGTCTCCTGTCCCCAGCCTGTGATGATGTCCTGGAGATAGTCGCTTTCAATGCCTCATCCTGGTGGCACGAGGTGGACATGCTGGGCCAGGACCGAGCCTGGGTGGCCGAACGGGCAGCACTCGGCACCACTGGCCACTCCTGGGCAGCCGAACCCGGCGCCAAGGCTGCCTGGCTGGAGCTGGATCTGGGCACCCGAAGGAATGTCACAGGTGAGAGTTGGCCATCAGAGGGGGACAACAGCTGCCTGTGTCCCCCCATGCCACCCTGACCACTGTCCTCCCACTGTGCCAGTGTCACTGATCCCCACAAAACTGGCCAGGGCAGTTGCACCCTCGTAACTCCCAGGATGCACTGTAGTTCATTGTGCCGTGGTTTTACTGGTACAAACTGGGATGCAGAGTGCATGAGCCCCCCCAGCTGCTCCTGTCCTCCTTTTGTCCCTTTGCCCCCCTCATCTGCAGTCACTTCTGGGATGAACAAGTTAATATGCTCTTGTATCTGGTGCCAGTAAGCATCTTTTGTCCGGCCTGAGCCTGCTAAAAGCAGGGGCTTTGTGCACCAGCAGCTGGCAACCACAGCGATGAAAATAGGGACATTGTCTGGCCGGAGGCTGGAGGAGGGAGAAATGCAGGGCTGGCAGCCAGGGCTGGAGGTTATTGGTTCCTGGGGGCAGGCCAGAGTGTCCTACACTGGAATCTGCCACCCAAAACTCCTCCCAGGGTCAGAAAGATCCCCCTCTGCCAGTTGACATGTCCTGCCCTCCTAGTCCTTTCCCAGCTGGGTCTTGAGTATCCCAGAGATGGGGATTATTCCAGCTGGGAGAAGAAGGCAGTGGGGTAGAGGGCTGCCCTTCCCCAGCCCCACAACCCCTAACTGACAGCAGGGACCCCCCTCCTGCATTCATAGGCATCATCACAAAGGGCTCCTCTGAGCAGCACAACTACTACGTGACGTCCTACCATGTCTCCTCTAGCCGCGACAGGAAGAATTGGAGACCCTACAGAGGCAGTAGTGGCCAGGAGGACAAGGTGGGCATGGGGAGAACATCACAGGGCTGAGACTCCCTGCCCATGGATATATGGCCATTGGTGTATCTTCACCCTCTCCGGTAGGTGTTTGAAGGAAATGCTGACAGCCAGGGGGAGGTCTCCAATGCCTTTATCCCCCCCATTGTCGCCCGCTACATCCGTGTCACACCACAGAGTTGGCATCAGAGTGTGGCCCTGAAGGTGGCCCTGGTGGGCTGCCAGCTGGCACGGGTCCACGCACCCCGTCCCAATGGTAAGCCCCTCCACAGGAGCTCAGACTCCCATGTCCAGAACATCCTCCTGGGACCTTCACCTCCCTGAGCACACAGCGGTGGTCCCACAATCACAGTCCCCATTGCTGCTCTGTCCCATAGTGCCCAGTGTCTCCAAGGAGGTCCTTGAACCCACCAGCCGCCCAGCCAGCTGCACCCCCATCTCTGGCATCGCTCTGGACCCAGAGAAGGCAGGTGGGTGCCATGGGGGGCTGTCCTTGGGGTGCAGCATTGTCTTTTGGTGTTTCAGGTGCCACTGGGGCTTCATCCCCCTGTGGGAACACATTGATTTTCCTCTAGTGATCCCAAGTGGGCTCCTGGCATGCATGGGTGCAAAGAGGTGGGATGGGGACCCAGGGGGCTGACACCACCCTCCCTCCCCAGGCTCCACATTGTTGGCAATGCTGCTCATTGGTGGCTTTGTGCTCCTCTGCTCCTGCCTCCTGCTCCTGGCTTTCCTCTGCTACAAGAAGAGGTTGGTCCTGTCTTGTCCCCTACTTTGCCCTGGGGGACTCAGCATCACCTCCCCAAATTGCAGCAGCTTCATCCAGCTGCTCACCAGATCCCAAGGGGTGCAGCCGCTTATGCAACGGGTGTGAGGAGATGGGGGGTGATGGGCACAGGGTAGCTGGGACTTCTTGCCCCATCTTGCCTCTCCCCTTGGCAGGAAGTCAGCAGCGGAGCTGAACTGTGGGATCACAAAAGGTAAAAGGGTCCACAACTCCTCCCCAAAATCGGGGATCTGTGTGCCGTGGGGTGCAGCTGGTTTATCTGGTGCTGCTGCCAAGCTCAGAATTGTCCCACCCCCCAGGGGCACGTGCACATCCAGGTGACAGCCTGTGACAACCGAGGGTTTCCTCTCCCTCCCCAGGGTACCCCAAGCTGGAGTCGAGCCAGGTTTGCTCCCTGCAGAGCCTGCCAGCCCCTAGCCTGTCCTCCTTCCCCATGGCCCCCACACCAGGGGACCTCAGCCAGACCCATTTACCAGGTAACAGGGACATCAGGGTATGAACTGGTCCCTCAGCCCAGAGCTGGGGCCAAATCTTCCCGTTTGCACCTCCCTCCCTATTCTGGTCTGACCCCTCCCCTGCATCGTGGTCCTGTGCAACAGGGAGGCCCTGATAAATTAGACGTGCCCATTTAATTATTATTATTATTATAATTTCTTGTAAAATCACCACACGTTATTTAGTAGTAGCAGTCCACCTTGATGACAGTTGTTGCCACTGGAAAATTGCTGGGGGCAGCAAGGGCTCCTCTCTGTGGTGTGGCAGAGGAATGTGGGGTCTCCATGGGGAGGTGCCCTGCCCTGGGTGGGTTTTGGCAGTTTTCCTATCCCTGAAAGTCCAAACACGCTCAGTTTTTCAACCCACCTCACCCACCTCTGCCACAGCACCATGACCCTCCTGACACAGCAACCTCCCTGTTTCAGAGTACGCTGAGCCAGACCTGGTGCAGGTGAGCCCCAGCAGCCAGACAGGTCCCTGCACCTTCAAGCCACTCCTGGAAGAAGGCTACACTCTGCCGCTGGTCCTGAGCCACTATGACATCCCAGGAAAGCACCATGAGTACGCGGAGCCGCTGCCACCAGAGCCTGAGTACGCCATGCCATTTAGTGAGCCGGAGCCCATTGGGATGCACCGCAGCACCTGCAGCATCGCAGGGCCTGCCGGGTGCTCCCTGGTGCAGTACCAGACACCTGCCCTGCGGCCCGGAGAGCTGCCAGCTGGGGTGGAGCAGACTGGCAGCCCCTGTTCTGAGGGGTCCTGTGCGTGGCCTGGGCGCTGTCCCCTCGCACACGTGTACCATGAAGCCTTATGAGAAGGGGAACACAGCAGCATGATATTGGGTGTGGGGGAAGGCATGTAAAGGAGGACCTTCCCCGCGGTAGCACGGGGCTTTGTTAAAATAATCCTATGTAAATATATTGCATATAGAAAGACAACTGTGGAATGCAGCGCCCCCCCGCCTTTCCCACTGCTGTAGATTCAAACCCTGTCCCCTTACAAGAACAAACGCACTCTCCATTCAGCCGCTTTCTGCCTTTCACCGATGCCGGGGTGCCGGAACGAGCGGTTACCGGCAGCCCCCCCCCACAAAAATTGTGCTTCCGAAATCTCTTGATGTCGATTCCGCGGGGGTGGCACGCGGCCCCCCCGTGCCACGCACGGCAGAAGCCCTTTTTAGAGCCCCTCCCCGGCCCTACCCACCTTGGGAAAGCGCCGGTGGACTGGCTAGGTCAGGGCGAGGAATACCGAGACTACCATACACATGTCTGGTGCGTCTGTTCTTTTATCCTTCCTCATCTAGATCTTATTTCTCCTGGCCATTTCTGCTGATTGTCCCTCAAAATTGCCGTTTTCCCCGCTTTTTAGCCGGCCGGGGTTATGCAAATCGCGCGGGGCATGCTGGGCATGCTTCTTCCCTGAGGCAGCGCGGAGAGGAGGAGCGCCTTTGGCGAGAGGGCCATGGCACGCACGCGCGCGCAGGCAGACTCGCTTCTGATTGGCGGCGGCCACGGGCGGAAGCGGAAGCGCTGCCGTGTGTCGGCGGGCGGCGGAGGGAGCGCAGCAGTGGCGGCGGCGCTTCGGTGTTCCCGCGGGTCATGGGGAGGTACGGGGAGCTCGAGGGAGCTGCGCGGAGCACCTGGGGATTCCACACCAAATCCGGGAGGGAGCACAAGAGTGGGCGCTGAGTTGGTCCCGGTGGCGGTCGGTGACCTTCGCTTTGCCCCACGACTCCCAGCGGAGACGTTCTGCACTGGGAGAGGGATTCGTTCCCATCCCGGCGGTCTCCGTGGTGCTGGTGAGCCCTTTAAGCTGGGAATGTTCAGCCTGGAGCAGAGAAGGCTCCAGGGAGCGCTCAGAGCCCCTTTCAGTGCCTAGAGGGCCTCCAGGGGAGCTGGAGAGGGACTGGGGACAAGGCACGGAGGAGCAGGACACAGGGAATGGCTTCCCACTGCCAGAGGGCAGGGATGGATGGGATATTGGGAAGGAGTTCCTCCCCGTGAGGCTGGTGGGGCCCTGGCACAGGTTGCCCAGAGAAGCTGGGCATGATGCTCCTTCATCCCTGGAAGTGCCCAAGGCCAGGTTTGAGGGGCTTGTAGCCAAGTGGGACAGTGGAAAGTGTTCCTGCCCATGGCAGGGGATGGAATGAGATGACCTTAAGGTTTCTTCCCACCCAAACCATACTGAGATTCTATGATTGTATTTAGATACTTGGTTGTGGTTAATGAAAGTGGGATCCCCCTGAGCACTCCAGGGAATGTGCTGTTTGTCATGAATATGGAATTTAGTTATGGCTCTATTGCTGTGCTGTCGCAGAGCTGAACAAGTTGTGCTGATCGCAGCACCCAAACCTCCTCCTGCCCTGGAGGGAGCTGCTGCTGTGAAGGTCTGGGCTTGCCTGCACATCAGAAGGTACTAGAATGCTCTGTTTCCTGGCAGAAAAAGGCAAATTGGTCATATTTTTCTTCAGAATCCTGCTGGATGCTTGTCCTCTGCAACAGCGACTGTGTGATCTTTCTTGACAAAGAAATCTGTGGCACTGTAGTGAGGACAGCTTGTGAAAGTGTTTCCTGTAACCATCTTACACAGAATGGGTGATACAAAAAATATCAAATGTTTTTGTAGGAATGAGAGTTATGTGGAAGAGAAGGATTCCAGAGTAGGTAATGCTGACTGGTGATGTTCTGGGAGGGGTGTGGGCTGTGGCTTCTCCACTCACTGGGCTCACAGCAGTTGTTGTGCTTGTGACTGTGGAAGGTGCAGGGGATGAATTTCCTGTCACAGAGCAAAACTTCATTGAGCCTGGGGCTTAGAGCGAGCAGAAACAGAGGAGGTGCCAGTCAGTGTTTACCTCATGACCAACAATCTAAGTAACTTCAGCACCTGGAGGATAACCACACAATCCGCTTGTGGTTCACCACTGGGAGCTCCATAAATCCCACTCTATTTCCTTGGCTGTCAGTTGCCCAGTGAGGGAAGAACAGGGGCAGGTGTGGGCACACACGTGTTCCTCCCCCTCTGAGCATCAGATTGTGCTCTCAGAGCGCAAAATGAACCAATGTTCTCAGTCCCACATGGAGGGGTTACTGAAGGCTGGGCTGTGAGTGTGATGCTGCCAAAAGCAAGACCCCCCCTGCTCCGTGGAGACCCCAGGGAGGCAGGGTCCTGCCTTCTCTCTGGGACTCTGGATTGTGGGCATGGTGTATTCCATGCTGCTGCAGCAGGAACAAGCCATGTCCTGCAGTTAAATCTGCTTTGAATGGTCTGTTCTTTGTGGAAAATGGGTTCAGGAAGACTGTGTTGGGGTGGATGTGGGGGTGTTCAGCTCAAGGGATGAATGGGTGGTGGGTCAGTGCTGCTGGAAAACTTAATTTTCTGAACACCAGGGAAGGTTTTCTCTGCTACTAAGCATCACTTCTCCCCTCATGCTGTGAGCAGAGATTGCTGTCAGAACATTGCACTTTTCCCTGGACAAACACTTGTTCACCCTGCTGAATTCTATTTGCTGGCTTTCATGGCTTTCCTCTCCCTTTCCAGTTGACTGCTTTGGATCCCCACAACCCCAAGAAGAAGCAGGACCTAGACAAACTTTATGATCTAAAAGCTAAAGCCCAACAGATTATGAACCAGTTTGGCACTTCTACCTTGATCAACCTCTCCAACTTCTCCTCAATTAAGCCAGAACCAGCCAGCACCCCCCCGCAGAGCTCCATGGCCAACAGCACCACTGTGGCAAAGATGCCAGGAACACCCTGTGGAGGAGGGCGTCTCAGTCCTGAAAGCAACCAGGTAAATCCATCCCTGACTTTGGGACAACAGAGATGATGCTTAGACATCACAAGCATCACAGACTTGCCTGTGGCTTCATTTGCCTTCTTTATATCACCAGCAGAAATAAAATGTTTAAAGTTGTCAGTTACTGAGTGAGCAAAACTTCCTCACAGAGTTCTGCTCTCCCAGGTGCTTCCTGGCTGGATGGGGTTTGGATGTGGGAGGTGTAGAGATTTTTCCAGTCTTAGGAAAGTGTATATTGGGGTGTGACAGGGGAAGTTATTTTTAAATGGGATTTAGATGGGAGAAATACAGGGAGAAATGGGTGATGAAGGTGCAGGTTGCTCAGAGAAGCTGTGGCTGCCCCATCCCTGAGAGTGTCCAAGGCCAGGTTGGATGGGGCTTGGAGCAGCCTGAGATAGTGGAAGGTATCCCTGCCCATGGCAGGGGGTGGGATGACACAGACTTCAAGGTCCCTTCTAACTCAACCTGTCATGGAGCCTTTGATGCACATAAAACAAACTGCTGCCCAGGGAATGCCCTGGCATTGCTTCCCAGTGGCTTTGCTGGCACCTGGACTCTTTGGAAGTGTGCTAGACCCCAGCACAAAACAGCCACAGCAGTGAAGGAATGAGGAAGGGCAGGAATTTCCCATCCATGTCTGGTTGACCTGACCAGGCTGACAACTTCCATCCATATCCTTTAAGACTCAGCATCCTGTTCTTCAGGATGTGTGACACAGATGTGTGGTTTCTGCTCCTGCCAAGTCTGACTGCCCTGGAATAACCCAGCACTCCCATACCTCTGTTTTCCATGTGAAGCACTAAAGCTGATAAGTGCTAGAGCCATGGAAATGCTTCCCTCGTGCCCTGAGCACATCTTTAATCACTGTTCAAATCAAGTGCTGATTGCACTTGCTGTCTGCATCTTAACAGTTGTAGTTTTGCCTTTCCTCTCCTTGCCAACAGTATTTTAGTGCTGGAAACATTTATCCTGGCAGCTGCACTCCAGTTGTTGACCAGAGCAACCACTGGTGATTGAAAATTAGTCCTTAATGCCTGATATTTCTTATCTCTGCCATTCCTGAGCTGATAGACTGTGTCAACAGCGTGACTCGGCCCTGGGGGCAGGGGGGAGGAGGTGGTTGTAGCTGCACTCCATGGGCAGCCTCTTTGCTGGAGCAGGGCAGTAAATCCTTCTCTCCTCCCACATGCTCAGGTTTTAACCAAGAAGAAATTGCAGGACCTAGTGCGTGAGGTGGATCCGAACGAGCAGCTGGATGAAGATGTGGAAGAAGTAGGTTCCAACCCGTGGAAGGGACTGCAGAAAGAGTTAATTTGGGATTTGTCACAGATCAGTGGCCCTTTGTCCAAGGAGAGAGCATTGGTTCGTTTAACGTTTGTTTTCCCATGCAGCCTTCAGCCATCCCTGTTTTTATGCATCCCAGTCCCAAAAAGGCTTTTAAAATAGCAATTGCAGTAAACACCTATGAAATCCACTCCTTTGAGTGGAATTTTGGGCACCACAATATAAGAAAGATCTAGAACTATTGCAGGGCACTCAAAGGAGGCTGAAGGTGGGGAAGGATCAGGAGGGACAACAAGGGGAGTGGCTGAGGGCACTTCATGTGTTCAGCTGGAGCAGAGTAGACTGAGGGCAGAGCTCAGTGGGGGCTGCAGCTTCTCCCGAGAGGTAGCACCGATCTCTGTTCTCTGTGACCAAGGACAGGACCCAGGGAATGGCTGGAGATCAGGGTAAGGTTCTTCTCCCAGAGGGTGATTGGGTGCTGAACAGGCTCCCCAGGCATCCAGACTCACGGAGCATTTGGAGAACACTCTCAGGCACAGGGTGAGGATTGCTGGGGTGTCCTGTGCAGGGCCTAGAGTTGGTCTGGATGATCCTTCAAATTCAGGACATTCTGTAATTCTAAATACCAGCTTCTGAGAGCTTGTTTTCATCTTCTCATGTAATTTCAACTGCTCAGTGCTGACCAGACTGGTTGTTGCCCTTGTTCCACCACAGATGCTGCTACAGATTGCTGATGACTTCATTGAGAGTGTGGTGACAGCTGCCTGCCAGCTTGCACGGCATCGCAAGTCCAACACCCTGGAAGTGAAAGACGTCCAGTTGCACCTTGGTGAGTGACTTTTATCTGTTTCTTTCCCCTCTAGCCCCAGATCTCAGCTCCTCCTGGAGTAAGGGCACAGCTGCAGTGCTGTGGTGGAAATGTGTGAGTAGATAATGCATCCCTGCCCATGGCAAAGGGCTGGAACTGGATGAGCTTTAATGTCTCTTCCAACTGAAACCATTCTGTGAATTGCAGAGCGCCAGTGGAACATGTGGATCCCAGGCTTTGGTTCTGAAGAAATCAGGCCCTACAAAAAAGCCTGCACTACAGAAGCTCACAAACAGGTAAGAAGCCCTCACAAGACCAGGAATCACAAGGAAGGCTGATATGGGGATGGTGGTCATGGCCTCCTGGCACTGTGAATTTGTGGCCTCTTCCAAGTGTTTCAGACTGGAAATGACTTCCAGAGTCTCCTGACCTGTTTGTGTGGGGGGTTGAGGTTGCTGTGTCTCCTCAGCTATGTTGCCTTTTCTCAGAGAGAAGCAGCAGCTCTTGGTGTTTGGGAGGGTTAAAACCCTGAGCTGCACTTCTCAACTGCCCCTGGCAACTCCATCTCTGTGCAAAGGGACTGAAAACACCCTTAATTTTGCTTTAAAACTGCATTGGGCCATTGCTTTTTAAGCCATCGTCAGAGCCTAGAAGGAGCTGCCCTGCAGTGGGTTCATGGGTGATGCTGCAGCTCCCACTGGGCAGAGAGAAGGACCTTGAGGTGGGCTTTGATTCCACAGCCCCAGGGTGCCAATTGGAGCGGCACACACTCCCTTCTCTGACTTCAGCCTGGGACCCCATTAAGATTCAAACAGACCTGAAAGACCTGTGTGGGAAACAAGTCAGGCAGCGTCCTGGAGTACCTGGGATGCCTTGTTCCTGCTGTGGGTGGTTGTGCAGTCACCTGCTCTGAGCTGCTTCTCATGGAAAACCCTCTCTTGTTGCAGAGAATGGCACTGATCCGCAAAACTACCAAGAAATAGCTCCTGAGCAGAGCCAGAGACACCAGGACACCTGTCTCTCCACTGAAGCCTCCGTGATGTCACCTGTGGGATACTTTTTTAATGCTTTACAGAAAAGCATCTATTTTTTATTAATGGTGCAGCAATATCTTGACTTGATGAGGACACCTGCCAAAAACATTCTATGCCCTGTTCTTCGATCCTCCTCAGAGTGCAACATATCTCAAACAGAGACTTTTATTTGTGACTTGAAAGTGGTTTATCGTACAAGTGATTATCCAAGGGACAGAGCATTTGATCGTGTGTGGGACAGTATTAGAAGCATCTGTAGAGGTTTTTGTTTCCTCCTTCCTGCCCGTATCTGGTCCAGTACTTTGTAATGTCAGTGTTTATATAAATACTTGCATTTGTTTTTCATGAATAAAGAAATTATTCTAAGCTGCTGGCATAGGCTTGTGCTCTTTAGGCAGCATTGCACAGGGATGGCAGGGGCCCTGTCACCTCAGCTCCGTGTGTGGTGCTATTCTGTGAGAGATCTGAGAGCAGAATTATGGAATATTCTGAGCTGGAAAAGATCCCCAAGGATTATTGAGTCCAGCTCCTGGCCTGCCCAGGACACCTCACCAATCCCACCCTATGCCTGAGAGCGTTGTCCAATGCTCTCTGGAGCTGTGGCAGCCGTGCGTTGCCAAGCACCCTCTGGGGTAAGAGGGTTTCCTAATACGCAATTATTTCAATTTCAAGTGCAATTATCAAATTACACCGCTTCTTCACCAGCTGTTTCCTGGGTCCTGTCCCTGGTCACTGGAAGCAGAGATCAGAGGTGTCCCTTGGGAGGGGCTGCAGACACTGGTGAGTCTCCTGTTTCCTCCAGGGGGAGCAAACCAAGTGCCTTCAGCTGCTCTTCCAGAGGTTTCCCCTCCAGACCCTTCTAGATCACAAGGATTTGGCCAGTCCCTCACTTGCCATTCAAGGACGGCCAGGTCACTTCCCTCCTGACCTCCAGCTCAGAGTGAGTCCCTTCCCAATTGTTGGGAGATTTGGACTGTTGGGAGGGGGATGTTGTGACATGATGTTCCTGAAGTCAAGGTCCCCCGATTCTGTCTGTGCCTGGACATTAAACACATGCCCCTGCCTGTTCCTGCTGTTCTGCTCAGGGAAGCTCCAGGGGCTGTTATGGGGATGAGGAAGTTGACAGCACTGCAAACGCCCCTCCGTGACAGGAAGGCTCCTGCAGCCCTAGGCAGAGCTGGGCTCATCCTCCCTGTCCAGCTTTCTGGAGGCTCCTGGTACCTGTAGGGGAAACCAGGGTGCGTGAAGTGATTCTAGGACCATCCCAGGCTCACTCCTCATGTCACTGTGGGATGAGGAGCCTGGTGAGCTCCTTTCTGCAGCCTTGTACGGAGGGTTTTTTTGCAAATTACATTGTATGAAGATCAATCTAAAAGAGAAAGCATGAATGGTATGTCATTCTTTTTCCTTTGGGCTCAACTAGTCATGTACTCAGCCAGAATGGCAGATACATTATCTGAGTTCCATGATAAATTTGTCACTTTTAATTCTATTTGGGAAGACTTAAAGAATTCAGGGCTTTATGATTAGGATCTCAGTCAGTACAAGAGAGAATAGGAGAAGGGGTGACATTGACTTCTGCAGGCCTGTGAAGTCCCACTGGAGGACTTCACCCTTCCAACACGCTTCCTCTTTCCCAGGAAAACACAGGCAGGCAGAGGGTGACCAGAGGTATTTAATGTGGCCATGCCACTCCTGCCTGTGTCTGGCTGCTCCATATCCACTTCCCCTCTTGAGCCCAGCGTGTCCCTGCCTTGCCAGTGTCCCCGGCTCTAGCACGAGCATTTCTTCTGCTTCTTCTCCAGTGCCTGAGCCTTGGGCAGCACTGGCAGTGGGACGCTGCTCTTCACCCCATCCCATGCCTCGGTAGCTACCAACTGCCCCGTCTGCAGCGCTTGGTAAATGGCCACTGTCAGCATCTGGAAGGCCTGGACCACATTGGAAGCGTCTTTGGCTGAGGTCTCCACGTACTGGACACCCAGTGAGGCCGCCAACTTCTCCGCCTCTCTCTGGCCCACCCGGCGCTGCCCAGACAGGTCACTCTTGTGCCCCACCAGCAGGAAGACCATACGGAAAGGCTGGATTGTGTCAGTCACCTCCCGGTGCCATTGCCGGATGCTCTCAAAGGACGCGCGGTTAGTGAGGTCGAAAAGCAGCATCCCCCCAGCCGAGTTGCGGTAGTAGGAGCGAGTCACGGACCTGGGGTGCCAAGAACAGGGAGGGTGAGTGGCCAACCCTGTGCCACCTCAGACAGCATGTTCCCTGCCTGCAGAGTGGTCCTGGCTAGGACCTGCTTCTGCAAGCAGCACCTTGTGCTCAAATCACCATGAATGAGAATCAGCCTTTTGCTGTGTAAGAGTTCCAGGGTTTCTGCTCAACCACCAAAGCTCATCTGTCTCCTGCAGTCACAGCCCCCAAGTGCCCCTGTGTCTGCAGCCATGTCCACAGGGCTCCACCATCCCTGCTGTCACGGTCCTGGAACTCTTCTGTCCCTGCTGCCATGTCCCCAGTACTTTCCCATCTCTGCTGCAACAGTCCTCTCTCATTCCTGCAAACAACCCTCCCATTCCTGCAAACCCAGATTTTCCACTCTCCCATCCCCTGTAGCCACATCTCCCAAGCTTTCTTGTCCCCAGGAGCTGCCTGGCTGGTGGAGACAGCCCCACAGTGAAGTGTGGAGGCTCCTAGCAGCTGAGCTGAGGAAGATGTTTCACCCAGCACCCAGTAGGCTCCCAGCTGTTCCCCAGCCCCTCTGCACCTAGTGTGGCAGGAAGGTTCTTGGGGGAGTACTGTATCCCAAAGCTGGAGCAAGGACTTACAAGGCAGTCCCAAGGGCTCCTTTCCCTTAGCTTTGGCTTTTGGCATGGTGGTTCCTCACACAAAGGGACAAATGGGAACACAGCCACACCAAGGACCTCCTTGGGCTTGCAATCACACTCCACCCCAAATCTGGAGGGGGACATCCACCTCCACCACCCCATGGACCCACCTGAATCTCTCCTGCCCAGCTGTGTCCCAGAACTGCAGCTTCACTTGCAGCCCTGGCTCCAGCTCCACGAATTGGACGTAGAAGTCCACCCCCACTGTCTGGTTGACAGTGTCTAGGAAGACACCCTCGGTGTAGCATTGCAGCAGGGAAGATTTCCCCACTGTTGAGTCCCCCAGCATGATCACCCGGAACTGGTACTGCCACCGTGGCTCCATCTGTGCCTCTGCTGGCTGCCAGGACCTGCCACCCCCGCACCAGGAGCGTGTTCAGGCAGGCAGAGAGCTCCTCCACCCAGGAGGCGTTCCCAGCACCACTGGTGCTGCATGGCCCCTTTGGAGCCCCTTTGTCCCCTTTATTTTGGCTCCATCCAGCTGGAAGAACTCAGGGGTGCCTGCTCCCATTTTCCCATGGACAGGACACCCTGAAAAGTGTCCCAGACAAGGGGAGCTGTTGTCCCACCAGCAATGCCCCCCAAAGCAGAGGATCCCCCATGCCATGGTATGAGTGCTGTGCCTCTGCCTGGGATGCAGAGCTTGGCACAGCCTTTTAGTGTGGAAAAGCCTTAGGTTTATTAAAAACGCTCCTACAGCAGAGTATTATTTTTCAGAGCCCCCCAATTAAGGTTTGAAATAATCCCAAGCCCAGGTGGAAGACCCAAACCTCATAATCACCCAAGGGCTGCAGGTGCTGCATGGAGAGAGAAGCATCCTCACGGGTTGGGGTCCCACATCCCCCTGTCCCCATCAGCACTGGCAGTACTCCTGGGGCTCTCTCCCTGCTGGGGGCTGGCGGCGACTCTGGCTGGGGATGAGCCTGATGCCATCACATTCCTGGTGTGGGGCAAGGATCCCCAGTACCAGCTGGATACTCCCAGCCAGTGTCTAGAAGGCCAACTCCACGTTGACATTGCTGCAGGCCAAGGTCTCCACAAAGGCCATGCCCAGGGTGGTGGCGAGGTGTCCGGCTTCCTCTGCTGACACGTTCGCTCGGCCACCAGGTCACACTTGTGTCCCACCAGGACAAAGACAGGCAGCCGGTCCCCTGCAGCCTCACAATACCACTCAGAGACATGCTCGAAAGATGCCCGATTGGTGAGGTCGAAGACTAGCAGCACCCGCACTGCACTCCGGTAGAAGGACCTGGTGATGGACCTGGGTATACCCAGCAGGGTTTCAATGTCTCACACTGACAGCCCTAGGACGGGGCTTGGGAGATTTTTGGGTGATAGATCAGACCTCGGGAGTGGGAACGGGAGACCTGTCTTGGCTATTTACAGCCCTGTTTTCTGTTCAGCAACCCTCCCCCCAGACTGAGGGGGCTCCAGAGGAGACCTGTGGGGTTTTCAGGGACTCTGTGGTACCATTGTACTTCCAACAGCCCCCAGGTGTAGTGGGGATAGGGCAGCACTGGACAGAAACAGGGCACCACCAGGACGAACCTTGGGGTTCCCAAAAGGTTCCCAGGGATGGGGAGGGCCTGGGAGCCCAGCTCCAGCCACATCACTTTGCTCTTCAGCTCTTCATGCCCCATTTGAGCCTCTCTTACACTCCCAGGTGCTCCTGGGAGTTGATTGGTCTGATGTAATCAGGAAAGAAACCACCCTGCCCCAACCCACCAGCACACCGCAACCAGCACCCGGCCCTGCTCCCCTGAACAGCTCCAGTGTCACTGCAAGCTCAACACAAGGTGTCACTGGCCCCTAAAGCATCACCATCCCCAAGAGCTATCGCTGCCTGTCTGTGCACATCTGGCCCGGGATTTACAAACACCCCAGGCTGGGAGGATGACTCAGTGGGGTGGGGGTGCTGGGGTCCACATACCCACCTCACCTGAACCGCTCCTGGCCAGCCGTATCCCAGAGCTGCAGCTTGGCCTTGATGGTGGGCGACATCAGGATAGTCTGGCTGTAGAACTCGACGCCGATGCTTGGGCCAGGGGTGGCTACCCCACCAGGACCCCCACTCAGCCTGTCAGCAAAGCAGCGCAGCAGTGAGGACTTGCCCACGGCCATGTCCCCTAGCACGATGATGCAGAACTGGAAGTGTCCCTCAGGGTCAAGATCCTGGTGGGAATCTGTCACATGGCTGAGCTGGCTGGATCCTGACCCACTGCATTCCTGCTGTGCTAGCAGCAACAGGACAGGCCTCCACCCTTGTCCCCACCCCACCTGGGGACAGGGATGGCTCTGGCCCCAAACTGTCCCAGGGAGAACTGTCCCAGCTGCCAGCTCAGTCCTCATCCTTCCCAGTAACACTGAGGAAAGTAAGAGGGTTACATCTTCCCAGGTTTACATACAAAAAAAAAAAAAAGAAAAGTTTCGAGCTGCTGCATAGTTATAACCACCTAGGAAAATCACTGAATTAAGTGATTATTTAAATTCCCGTTTTTAAAACTATTTTTTTCCCATTTGCCTGCTTCCCAACCTCCAAACTCCAAAACACACACCCTAGTAACAGCCCAACATTTCAAACTTCAGCAGCAACACAAGTTCACGCTAATCATTTCCTTGCACATTCTAGCATTTAGTCTTTGTTGCTGCCAGGATGCTGTTTAGTGTTGCCACACACCAGCTGTCTCTGCTGCCTAGCTTTGGTGACAACAGGGACAGCCAGGCAGTGAGTGCACACTCACTGGTGTCCCCCAGAAGACAGGATTCTGGAAGAGCTGGGAGACTCCACAGGGAAGAGGCTCTCAAGACCTGCAGGTAAGAGACCAGAGGGGTCAGAGGCACCAGCTCAATATTCCAGGACAAAGCACTCTTGGCACCCACGTTACCTCAGGTGCAGAGACTTTGCCACTGTCCAGCCATCCAGAGACAGAAGAGAGCAGCTCCAACTGAGAGACTGTGGTTCCCCACCACCCATTTTTCTCTATGGTGGGAAAACAGGCAACCAGAATCACCAAGGCTCCAGCTGAGGGTGTTGGAGCACCCCAAGGTTGCAGGAGCTGCTCTAGCACTACCATGAAGGGCCAGGTGTTTCTGCACTCCACAGACCTCTGCTGAGTGCTGGGGGGGGGGGGGGGGGGGG